TAGTTGCTTATCTAATGTTAGTTTTTTTCAAATGAATTTTCTTATCAAAAGGGTTTGAAAATTGATTTTTAGACTAGTCTTTGAATACCGGATAATAGGCTAAGAATTTTGCGCTCATTTTATCGCTAGTTCTGTAGATTTTATTATTTATTCACTTTTACTGCAGTTTTTAATGACTTATAATAATACCTATAGATCTGTTGATAAATACCTCGGTATTTAGAATAGAAGTTATGATTAGTTTTCGCATAATTTTCTTAACATTTGAGTTGTCATGAGATTTGTTAAAGCGATTAATGCGCTGATGAAACACCTGTCGATTTAGTGGGCAAAAATAAAACTCATTTTAATTTTAAAAACTAAAACAAATAGATTACCAAACGTTGCAAAAAAGTTTTTAATACAATAGCAAAAAATTAGGCTTAAAATTCAATTTAATAACTATTGGTATTTCCAACACACAAACCATACATGAGATGTTAAAAAACTATTATATAATATGATATAATAGTTCATACAATCGCTAACTGTTTTGTGTGTGTTTTATTTGTTGTCCAAAATGAATACACTTTTAATATGCAATTGTATGAAAAACCTGTTAAACAGTGATGTCTGGGCCGAGCACTGCCGGCGTACTAACACCTGGCGATGAGGGCACCCAACTGTCGCTCATGACAGTCATGATCGGTTGGATTGTGATCGCAATGATACTGTACTTCTTGCGGCCCAACTCGTGGCGCCGGTCGTCGCACACCAAAAAGGGTCCCAATGGGGGCGCCGGTGGTGGCGGTCAGGACCCGGACCCCAACAATCGGTNGAGGGCACCCAACTGTCACTCATGACAGTCATGATCGGCTGGATTGTGATCGCAATGATACTGTACTTCTTGCGGCCCAACTCGTGGCGCCGGTCGTCGCACACCAAAAAGGGTCCCAATGGGGGCGCCGGTGGTGGCGGTCAGGACCCGGACCCCAATAATCGGTTCGTTTTGTAATGTACGGGTGGGGGCTTTACTGGGGGTATAAATAGCAAATAATTTTTAATTTTTTCTGTCAAACAATCAATTGTCTGTACAAACCATATGCACAATGGATTTCGCGGAACAATAAGTTTTTTAACTTTACTTCTAAACCAAAAACTTTTTTAATTACTTTTTACTGTAATCTGATATTTCCCTTAAATTTGTCGTTAATTTTATGGTTTTTTTTATATATTTAATTTCACTTTTCAATGATTTATCGTAAATTTATTTGTATTTTTTAATTTCTCTGTTTTTATTATTATTTTCCCCTTTTTTATGTATTACTATTAATTATTAGGAAACCTATTTGAAAAGCAAAGCAAATAAGTTATTTGTTTTTGTTGTGTTTTTTATTATTAAGCAATTTTGTTGGATTTTAAACAAAGATTTTATTGTATTAAATAAATTGTGAATACTTTGAATAGTATTTTATAATTAAATTTTATGTGATTTTAAGAACTATTTAAATACTAAGAGATAAATAAGACTATTGTATAAACAAACAACAAATTATAATAAATGAAATAAATAATAAAATGAGTTTTAAAACAAACTCCGAGTTATTAAATATAATATTCTGTTTGGGAGTATTGCTTGGGAAGGGGTTCGGGAGGTGTCGGCCAATGAGATCCCAATTTGTGTGACCAGATTCCGGACCAGACATCTCATACAGACTTATGATTCCAATCATTAGTTTGACAACAAATTTGTTCACAATTATAGTGAGGTATCAATCAATTGAAATAACAATTACTTCGTAAATAAGACAATAAATAGTGACTAAATCTACGCAAACACCGGATAACAAGCAGTTTATATCAAATTAGTGGTGATTCGGACGCTCGACATGTCATCGTTGGTACAGAACTGCATCAACTCATCGCTGGTGTCGGCGCTTATATTGATGTCCACTCGGTTGGGCTTATCCGTCAATTTCGACACTTTTCCTGCGAATTAACCCCAAAATCAAATGTTAGACAAAAAAACCTAAACCCAAGAAATATTGTCTGCGAATACCTGACGAGTGGTTAAATATGAAGAACTCGTTGGACAGGACTTCGCGCACTTGTATCGCGATAGAGATGTCGTGAAAGACATAATTGCGATACTTCTCAGCAAATCGCTGAAGCGATGCCAAGATCTGATTGTCGGTGAAGTCTTTGCCGCCATTAGAGGTCGTGGACTGGAGTCTCAAGAGGTCTTCCATCACTGGGTTGGGCGCCTCCACCTGAGGTCCGCCGCCAAACATAGCCTTCAGTTTAGACACGATTGGGTTTATGGGATTCGCGCGACTCATCACAACGTATTTGGGCCTAAATTGGGATCAAATGAAAGTCCACTTTAAGACACCGTGTATCATAAGGTGTGGCCATGTGTTGAGCTGTCGCTTACAAGTGATCCACTTTGCAATTATAGCCCCAGTTGTTGAGGTATGTGTTGCAGTTCTGCTCGAATTGTCTCATAATGGTGTCGATCTTGTTCTCGAAGTCCTCCACATGAGTGCCGGCCATCATATTGACGAAAGACAGGCGACAGAACTGTTGGCAACTGGTCTTCGAGTCCTTCAGTTGAGTGGAGCTCCGGATGGCGTTCAACACATTCAGGTGACACGCGATTGAATTGAATTCAACGATCGATCCATCAGCTGATCCCACGAAACAAGAGATACAGCGATTAAGAGGTTGTTTTAGAGGTACTTAAGCCGTGATTATCATTACATGTCATCAATGGCTGCGTTTTGTCGGCCAATACGAACTCATAATCAGACAAATCGATGATTTCGATGCAATCAATGAACGGAAACTTAATGATAATCCCTGTCAACAGATCCCCAAACCGTGAGTATCACTACATATGACAACTACAAGACATTGCAATACCGGGTCCTTTGAGTGGCAGACGTATACCCAACCGGTAGACGACACACCTCTGGAGGGAATGGATCCGCTGTCGAGACAGACAATGGATAAGAGCACGAGTTGGCGATCAACTGATCCCACGAGTGGATCCACTAATACCTGGATGCAGATGAAGGCAGAGATGGGAAACGTGAGCACAAACGTGACGTAAAAGACGCCGACAATCACTTTGTGGACCAATTGGTTGACGAGAGACTGGCGCCGGACTGTCGGGTCGTACGGGTCGTCGCCGTCGTCATCATCACCGCCGAAGCCGTTCCCACTGAACACGTGGTCATCGGTCGCTATTTTGGTGTATTTGAAAGCAGAGGAATAGTTGAAGACATTCTTCCCCGGCGATGACAACTCAACCATTGTTTGGGTGTTTGCGTCAAACGGATAGCGATTGTAAACAAACACTGCGTTTACGTCATTGTATTCATTGAATGCTTAGTCGTATATAACGTTACGATTCTGTGAACGTCAAGAATATTCTGTGGGATCGGTATGAACGGGAATTATTTAAGCCATTTAAGCCATTTATGGTGTGTTTTATTTAGTTTTTTTGTTTTATTTATTTAATTCACTACTGAATTGATCATTAAATTTGAAATTACTTTAAAAATGAGTGAAAAATTGAGAATTTTTGTATGAAATAATCGATTCTTTGCCTTCAATTCTGTGATAATTCTNTTTTTTTGTTTTATTTATTTAATTCACTACTGAATTGATCATTAAATTTGAAATTACTTTAAAAATGAGTGAAAAATTGAGAATTTTTGTATGAAATAATCGATTCTTTGCCTTCAATTCTGTGATAATTCTCTGGCAATGAATGGCTCACAAACTTTGTTAACTCGAAAAGTTCCCAGTTATCTATGAATCCGATTGTCTGTCCACAAGAGGCCAATCGATTCAATGGTTGCCTACGGTTGGGCTTATCTGAAGAGGTCTGCCTTCACAACAATTAAGTGATGGCAGAGCTCTTCATATGAGTTCTTATTACCTCTCGTACATCACTCTCCCGTTCGGTTGAGAGGGTCGGAGACATCGGTTGGACTTTAACTATGGATTCACACGAAAACAAAACCACTTTACACTTCTGATGGACTTTTCTGAAGACGTCCGCCATATCAATGATTAATGCTTTCCGTTGAGAGGACACGACAGGAGTTTTTAAATGAATAGTCAATTAAAATAACTTTTATTAAAGTATACAATGATTTGCATTACATTACAAACACTGATTTGGTGTGAATTGACATAAAAATACATATTATTTTCCAATCACTACACCACTGATAATATTAATTAAAACATTTAAAATCTAATCATAAAACTACAGGCGCTCTAACAAAGTTATGTGTTTGGCGGTCAGGGGTTCCAAAAATATAAAAATACATATTATTTTCCAATCACTACACCACTGATAATATTAATTAAAACATTTAAAATCTAATCATAAAACTACAGGCGCTCTAACAAAGTTATGTGTTTGGCGGTCAGGGGTTCCAAAAATATAGGAATACTTTTTATTTGGTGTGAATGGGAACTACAGCTCATCGCTGGCCAGACAGACACAGGCCTCCTTCTGGGCGTCTTTGAAGCTCTTGCAGCCAAACGTCAGGAAACTCATCATTAATAGCTTAGTAGCCGTTCGACACCCTTTCCCATCAGACAAACAAATCAATCGTTAGTTTTCTAATCAATTCACTCAAAAATTCCTATAAATTTTAAGCACCGGTAGGCTATCAAATAGGTATCAAATTGTGTACAAGTTTTACGGAAAGCTATGTCTAAAACCAATGGACAGGTGTTTAGGTATCCCTATCTGTAGGCTATGTCTGAGGTATAGCTGAGGTATGTGTGTGTGAATGGCCTACCCTTAAGAAGTGTGTCCTCTTTCTGAGTCTCTTTGCACTTCTTCATGAAACACTCGTTCAACTGGTCGTCGCAGTCGTTCTTAACTGATCCGCACTTATGGTAACACTTCTGGTGTTCATTACAACAGTTACCCATCTCTTTGATCGGAAGGTCCGACTCTTTGATCTGTTTTTCATTGCGATAAAAGTTTTATTTAAAATATTCACAGAATTACAGGAATATTCTGGAAGTGATTGTCAACCTTAATGCCGAAAGTTTTACATCCTTTTGGGATAAATTCAAACGACTTGTTTTGCACCGGGGTCTTCACTGTTAAATTAGTGGTAATCATAATTCATATTAGCGTTAAATTAAATTAAAAACTTTTTTCATCCAATTTCATATTGAAAACAATTCATAATTTATTAATATTTATTATAATATATGCATTATTAGCATACATTTGCATAAGTCTTATAATGCTATCCTATTAATACTATTATGAATTGTTTGCAAACTTATTTTGAATAAGTTTCTGAAATAAACAGGCAATGAGTGGACAGGCATACTGTGTGGACAGATATGTTGACAATCCTCATCCTTGGCGTGCTGTATGATATGGTCGGCCCAGGAGTCCACGTTATTGTACAGACTGTCCACAAACCCATTCAACGAGTCGCCCATTTGGCCGAAAACATTGCCAAAGTTCTCCATAAATGCATTACTGAAGGGTAGTATCAATACAATGAGAAACACCCGACAAATGACTAACAAATTGTTTGTTTTAGTCATGATTAAAGTCTTAGACATGAAGTCTCACACGTTTTGTGTGTTTAACAAAATGCACTGCAATTTGAGAACTTGGAAAACTTGACTAAAAATATTTTTAATAACTTCATGGAGAGAGAAAATATGGATTCATTTATTTTATTAAGTTTTTTATATTAAGTTTTATTTCTGTAATCGATTTTCTCATTTCCACTCATAATGTATGCGTGATTTCAGTGTATTAATCGTGGTATTCATTAGTAGTTTATCATTGAATAGACACTCATTTTCAATGCAAATACTGTGGAAAAACTTACATTTTATAGGAATATCTGAGAATTTTTTAATGACTTTTCCCATAAGATTTGCATTTGTCTTCAAAATGTGTATTTGAATAATAAGTTTCGTGTTTAAGTCAATGTATGTTATATTTGTTTTGCATCTCATATACCGTACGATAAGTCCTTAAAATACTAATCGATTTATAAAATTCTGTACAAATATCTTGTTATAATTATCATTTTAATTTCATAAACAATTTTATGACTTTACAGTACTTTTATATATTAAAATATATGGCATTTTTTATCTCATAAAACAAAAACTCCAATCATTTACTACAAAATAAAACCATAAAAACATTACAGAAAAACAATACGAAAACGGAATATAGGAATCGATTTAAGCATTAAATCAACGAAAAAAATACATTTTATGATAGGATTTCTAATATAGAAATAATAGTTTTTATAATTATATCGAAAATCACAACTAAATAATGCATTAATCAGTCAAAGAACACAAATCAATCAAAAATCGATATAATTTGATTTCAGTGTATTAATCGTGGTATTCATTAGTAGTTTATCATTGAATAGACACTCATTTTCAATGCAAATACTGTGGAAAAACTTACATTTTATAGGAATATCTGAGAATTTTTTAATGACTTTTTCCCATAAGATTTGCATTTGTCTTCAAAATGTGTATTTGAATAATAAGTTTCGTGTTTAAGTCAATGCATGTTATATTTGTTTTGCATCTCATATACCGTATGATAAGTCCTTAAAATGCTAATCGATTTATAAAATTCTGTACAAATATCTTGTTATAATTATCATTTTAATTTCATAAACAATTTTATGACTTTACAGTACTTTTATATATTAAAATATATGGCATTTGTTATCTCATAAAACAAAAACTCCAATCATTTACTACAAAATAAAACCATAAAAACATTACAGAAAAAACAATACGAAAACGGAATATAGGAATCGATTTAAGCATTAAATCAACGAAAAAAAATACATTTTATGATAGGATTTCTAATATAGAAATAATAGTTTTTATAATTATATCGAAAATCACAACTAAATAATGCATTAATCAGTCAAAGAACACAAATCAATCAAAAATCGATATAATTTCACAACACATTCAATGCTATTAAATAACAATCGATTGATTCAATCAATAATAAAAAGCATAATTCAAATCAATTTCATTATACTGTCGATCGCCTCCTCGTCGTCCGGGTATTCCTCAGCCTTTTGTTCGTTGGGTTTGTAGTGAGTGTCGGCGAACTCCTTAAAGTACTTCCCAATCTCCGGGTGCCGCACCTCTAGGGGCTCGGCGCAGGGCTCCAGGTTCTCCTGAGCGGCGTAACGGGTCGACCCGTCCTCCACCAACACGTTATAGAAGGGCTGCTTATCCTTATTCGGGAGGTTATACACTCCCATCTGATAGATCCAGTCCCTACTGGCCGCGCACTTCGAGTCCCACCCGTATATAACGCACCGGTAGTTATACCTAAACACCGGAAAACCACATATTAGTGGACAGCCTTACGAGACAATTAATGGTAAATCAATTAATCCCCAAAAAAACTCACTTAATGTGAGACATAATCATTCCGACGGCGTATTTGATGTCATTGTTATCCTTACGCCTCTTCGCGCACGTCTTGCGAGCGGTTGCGCCGCCGTTTCGCTTAGCGGACAGTTGACTGGTGACCGACTGCCTCAAGAACATCACCACACCTATCGAATTGGGATCCCTTTCGCTGATCTTCTGCAGCATTTCGTTCACGTCCTCTAAATTGATGTTCAAATGCAAGTAAACTCTGGACAACAGGAGCTGCGGCTCGTTCTCGTCGGGCGCCAGTATGCACAGCAACTCCAGCGCATTGCGCAGACATATGAGTCCCTCCGACGAGATCTCCTGCTGGCGACCGATCTCCACGAGGTTACGACACATCCGACAGAACACCTCCCGAGGGGTACAGACGGCCAGACACTCGACGTCGACGTCGCTGTGGTTCTGGAACAGAGAGGACGAGGGGCTCAACAACTGACCGCTCCGGTAGACATCGATATACGCCCACCGGTTGGACTCGCTTTCGTGGCTATCGTAAGACAATAGAGGATCAAATCGGGTGATAATCACAAGAATCACTCAACGAATGGTATAATTACTCGAATTGTTTCCACTTGAGAATGAAATGGTGCGGAAAGTTGACGCCAAACGTCTTAACGCCGAGTTTGGCGGCAATCGTCTGATAGAGAATGCAATACGTGATGGGAATCCCGAGTCGATTATCGATGACTTTATCCATAAACGAGTTGTTCATATCGTAATAGTCCTCGTCGTTGGACACGAAACCCAATTGACTGAACAGCACTTCATTCATACAAAACAGGATCTGTTTGCAGTCCTTTGAGCACCACTTCGACTCATTCAACGCGTTGGCCTCCGAGTCGGACAGGCATTGGGCGCCATTGTCTCGGATAATGGCGTTCGTCGGGTACTTCAGCACAACCTCATCCACAGTCATCTGCGACATCAACTCAATCTGACGCCTATAGTGGTCCTCATTGACCGTCTTATTCAACTGAAACCACGACGAGATCATGAGTGAGCCGTAGAAGTAGTCCCGCGACTCGACATCGCTGGCCATGTATTGGATCCACTGTCTCTTGAGGGAGTGGTGCCTCAGAAACCGTAACACTTTCAGCGAATAGTACTTAACGGTGAGGTTCTTGCGGTCGTCGCCATCGCCTAACAGTACTTCCAATTCATTGATTTGAAACAAATTCGTCAAATGAGTGGTCAGTTGCGGACAATGTCTGCGGGAGTTGTCGTCGTTGTAGTGGAGGAACGCTTTGAACGACTCGTTGGACAGCTCTTCGTCCGAGTAGTGGTCTTCGCCGAGTCTGCAGACCTCGCGGCGCACGTGTCGGCCGATGAGGTGCCGGTCGGCCACCAATCCGTGCCAATCGACGATAGCTGAGGGCATGTCTTCGGGCCGATTGCGGCAAGTCTTGGGCCACAATTGGGGCCACAGTTGCGGCCACTGGTGGCGAAACTTCTTGCGCCACAGATCGCCGTTCCGGTCGATCACATCGCGGAACCGTTTGGACACACGTGACAATCGGCACAAGTCTTCGTAGCGGACCGCGCGTTGGCTCACAATCGTCTCGATTATCTCGTTGGGGATCAACTCGAAGAAGTTAACGGCAGAGGTGTCGCTCGCGTCGGATCCGCTGCTGCCAACGCTGTTGTTGTCACTCATTGTCTGCTGAAGACCTATCGGGCGCTCAATCGAGACACATATCCGCGAGTGAATGGTGTGTTTGGTTCCTGTGGTGATCCGTTATCTTGAGTTTCAAATCGCATTAAATGTCAAAATCATAACAAAAACAACAAATACTTTGCCATAGATTTGGTAAACAAGTGACACAAATGGCGCCAAATTTCAAACGAAAGACACGGATGGCGTGTCTTTCGGCGGATATAATGTCTGTTTGTGTCCAACCAATAGCCGGACAACTGGTCAGCGACTTCGTCGCCACTGAGCTATCACTTGATTGACAACTTCTTAAGACTTCTTGATTCGCCTGATGGACACAACAAGACATGGATTAGACCATTGATAGTGTGTTGGACATCGTAATCAATGACATACCGGACTCGCGAGTGGTGGCACTTGACTATCAACTCAATCCTGTGCTAACGTCTTCGTTCGGACCTATTCTTCGGCGGTTAATGTGATATCTGAAGAACTTTTGGGAGTGTTGTCCATACAATACGTCGAGAATATCATTGAAAAACAAAAACAAAACGTTTTTGCGGTTAATACAAGTGTCAAGTCTTCAGCAATTGATTACCAGTTAATGGTATAAACAATGTCTTTATCTAATCGTTGAATGAGTGGCAAGTCTTAAGACAGTATGGACTCAATGTGTGACTAATAAACACTTCCAGTACTAGACGTGCGAAACACGTGACAGGCGTTCAATCGGTTATTCGCCAGTAGTTTGCGGGCCTCTCACCGGAGCCCTCACTCCCGATGTCTTGCGACTCGACAATGGATATCACATCCGATGACATCGACTACAGACTAACGCTGCAGTCGAGGGAACCGTTGTTCCCCTTCCCAGCGGGCGATCTAACCGCCGATGACTTTACTCTTAAGCAAGTGATGAAACTGTACGAAATGAATGACAGGAAACTGCAAATAGAGATCAAATTGATATCACCGAACGAGTTCCGGATTAACCCATTCAGACATAACGAGCACTTCATCGAGATCTTCAGGAATAAGAAGCGCATGAAGAGGAGGTCCAACAAAGAGCTGAAACACGCGTATGAGTTGGATGTGAGGCACTATAAGCACGTGATCTCCAGCCTCCAGGTATTTGATCACTTGATTCCTAAGTGATAGTTAAGACTTAGAGTTATACTGATTATCTGTTTATCGTCCCTCGATGGCAGCGATATCAAGAAGATTACGGCATAACTGTTAACTACAATAAGTTGGACAAAGAGATGATGAACGCACTGATGGCCAACAGTCACACCAACGACACTATCATGACATACATCATGAACTCTGACCGCGAAAGGGATCACATGATCGCCTCCTTGGAAGACGACACGCGGTTCACGAAAGCCATTCAATACATGAATTCTCACGACATGTTCGTCGACCTCACGGATCACCAGAAGATCTCGTTCTTTACGGCCATCTCTCGCAACGGGAAATGTATTCTTCGCGACTCGTTTGGCAAGTCGTTGACTGCGCTGACGATTATGACGTACTTCCGGGACGAATGGCCACTGATTATCGTCTGCGACGCCGACCGCAAGACCTATTGGGCCGAAGAGATCGACGTACGGCTCGTGTGCGCCAAAGACCTGAAGGTGTCGGTGGCGGACACTGTGGCCGACGTGTACTGCTATCCGGAACCGTTTCACGACATTCTGATCATGGATTACGAGCTCTACTACGAGCTGATGGACACCATTAGCTTCCGGTGCGTTGGCGTCAAAGCCTACATCTTTGAGGACCAGTCGAGAGGCACCGAAAACCGGCGCCAATGGAAAGGGTTGTCCACGTGTTTCGAGCACTTGAAGGACGCCAAACGGCTGCTGTTTGTGAGCACTGAAAGCGGTTTCAATTTAGACGAACCCAAGAACTTGTACCCAATGCTCAGAATACTTGATCCCAAGACGTTCGCAGACTTTACCGATTATTACGAGAGGTATTGCGATAAATCCGATGAGATTCAGCATAAGCGCAACGCAAGGGAACTGGAGATTCTGTTGCGGTCGACGTTTGTGTCGCCCATAGCTTTCGACCCCAACTGATCCCATGGCTGAACAGATTATCACCTCATTGTCAACGATTTTTGTTTGTTTGTTATTTGGATCGAGAAATTGTGTTTAATTTATTATTATTTTTAATTACGAATTTGTATTTCTAAGAGAAATTGTGTACAAAATGACAATCATTTATACAAATGAATAAAACTCTTATTTATATATAAAATCAAGTGATTAGTGAACTCTTGCAGTACTTCAGCACCACTTCCTACTTGTGTTCCGACTCGTCCTCATTATCACTGTTTTGGTCACTATTATGATCACTAACTTCCGAATCACTTTCCTGTGGATCAGCTCTAGTCTCTCGCCTCTCTTTAATAGTCAAGTCATTCATCTGATCCTTGAGCTCATCCAACAGATCCTCTTTGATATACGGATAGCCAATCAAATCCCTCGCCTTTTGCTGTGGCTTCGGATCAGTCTTAGCGGTGATGTCAACGGGTTGTGGCTTCAGATCCTTAACCACTGCCTCGGAGGACATACTCTTATCGAACACATGAATGCCTTTGAGTGCACTAATCGTGTCGTGAGTTCTCAGATAAACCGGTTCTTCGCTGATCTGTTTGCGGAGATAATTGGATGAAATGAGACACAAATCGCTGCAGAAGTGCTTAATGTCTTCAGTCCTGTAGATGTGGTTCTTCTTAGTGTCGATTTTGTAGACCTGTTTGGCGCCGAACTTGGACTTAGAGGTCGTCGACAAGCGGTTCCCACACAACGGATAACCGCATAAATCACACAAAGATCGCTCGACGCTGAGGTCGTGGTAGTGGTTGCGAGTGATGTACAGACACTTGTCTAAGAAGTCGCGGACATCCGAGTCGGTGACCACGACCTCCAGCAACGACTCGACGATCTCCAGACACCGGCGACTGTACTCGAGCTCAGCGGTGGTCGTAACGGACCTCTTGACGCCCGCCGTCGACGACATCACCGCCTAATTGACTAATTGATCCGCTGATTGATTGGTGTCTTAATTGTCTGCAAAACGTTTGGTTTTGTGGCAAAACTTTTGTCAATCAAAACAACACATGAAATGCATTGAAAAGTTGCACACAAACAACGTTACGGTTTGGAAACTTTTAATTTGTTTTAAAAGTTTAATTAATAGGACCTTGCTTATTGAATTTTAATTAAATTACCTATATCATAACCTCTACTATTTAATATTCTGTCGATTAATGGATTCATGTTTATTTCACCAAGTTTATTCATTGAGCTATTTTGAACTTTATTTATGAGTGTAACTCATTGAAAAAACTTGGGCGTTGAATTGTGAATGAAAAACCTGATAACTGCTTTTGTTTACTTTACATAGTAATCGCATTGATCCCAATGGTTGTCATAACACGTCAGTTAGCGGGTTCTTATCGCGGGCTATGTTTGCCATCAAATTCATTGTGCATTCAAAACAACAGCAATAATGTAAACATTGGACACAATTACGAGTATTTAATCGCATTTAACACTCAATTCAGTTGTGCTTTGCATTGGGTTTGCATCACAAGAGGCCAACAAAAAGCCCACAAAAGTGTCCAAAAAGTTTTCGCCACTTATTATCCACTCGTTTGACACTCAGAGCTGTTATGAGTCTCAAGAAGTTGTGACCGAAAAGAGCGCCGAAGAATGGATACGAGTTTAGTGGACAACACCGACAGCGCCGGCCGTGAAGTGATGGTCACCACTGACGCCGTCGTGGATCACACCATTCAGACACAGATGGGACACGAGTTGACCGCAAACGACACGATAGTCTTCGGCGATGGAGGCGCTGTTAATGGACAACAGCCACCGCTGCAGACATCGCCACTCGATGGCGGCGATGGAGACCAAGAATTGCGACCAAATCAGCGACAATCGATTGCCGGCGTCGACGACATGCCGGACCTGATGGACATCGACCACAACCAGTGCATTGGCGCCCAACATAACGATACAGTGGTTGCCATCGATGCCCCCGAAACCAGTGATAATCACCCGAAAGAGACAATGAATTCAGTGACCACTAAACGCGTGATGAGGTCTCCTGTCAAAGGGGGCGATGATATGAGTGGTGGTGTCGGCGGTGGTGGTGACGGACAGGCAGTGCTGCCAACGATGGACCGGTCGTTACGGTCGTCGCACTTACGAGAAGTACAACAACTGAAGACCGATATCCAGAAACTGAAGTCAGAGTTGACTCAATTCCGGCGCCAGAAGACGAACGTACGGCTGAAGAATAAACGACTGAATCAACTGAAGGCCGAGAACGAGAAACTCGTGAATGAGTTGCTGTTCTCGCAGAAGATCAACGAAATACTCGTCAAATTCAAGGAGTATTTCGAGGAGAGGTGGGCGACGATGGGCGCCGGCGGTATAGATAGCGACCAACCGTTGGTTGAGTTGCGAAATGAGTACAAAAATACGTTGAGTGAGAGGCAAACGATTGCGGCGTTGAATAAAAACGTCGATTTGAAGTACAAATTATACGCCAATGAGTTCAGTAGCAAAAGTAGCGCCGGTTTTGTACATAAGTCTACCTACGAGTCGATTATTGGTATGTATTTACCGTTTTGTGGATACATTTAATAGTCATTTCATAGCCATGTTTGCCGTTTAATAGGTAAGAAATCGAGAGGTCGTCCCCGAAAGGTCGACCCACAGATTGACGACTTGATTGGGAGTACGGGTGGCGACGCTATGGTGGCCGCCAAGAGAGCTAAACAGTCGTTCAAGTGTTCATACGATGGCTGCGCCTACCAGTGCACCAGAAGTAAAATGCTGAGCGAACACATCAACAGCGCCCACACCGGCGACCGAGTATTCAATTATTAAAATGTGTTTTAGCCGTGAATTGTGTTAACGCTTAATGTTTGCCAGCCATACGCCTGTCCAATGACTGACTGTAACAAATCATTCGCCCGGTCCAACACACTGGACGTACACCTCAAGTCGTGCCACAGCGACCTAAGGCGCTACCGGTGCACGTGGGAGGGCTGTAACGCCGCCCTTAAGACTAAATTAGGACTTTCTATTCATTTGCAGGTCTGTTGTGTTTAGGAGTTTTGAGTTGACTTTTGTGGTAAAAATGTTTTTGTCAATCAATTTATACTTCAGAGACATTCGGGTGAGAAGCAGTTCCGTTGCGAATGGCCTGGATGTTCGTATAGGTGATGGCTTTTCGGAGAATAATAATTTTATTTCTGGGTTTAACCGTTTGTTTCTATTTTCACTGATCAGAGGAATGACTAAACAAAGGCTCGAAATCCATGTAATGAACCACACGGGCGAACGTCCCTATAAGTCAGTCCATCCAGTGATTTGTTATTGATTTGCATTGTATTTAACCGATTGTTGATCACATACGCTGTGGACAGGTGTACGTGGCCGGGCTGTGAGGCCAACTTCACGTCATCCGATTGTCTGCGATCTCACCAGAAGTCTCACAGCAATAACCGTCCGTATAGGGTATGGCTCTTACGCTCCAGTGTTTAGTGACAAATAGAGTACTAATTATTTTTATTTACTTATTTCCGTACAGTGCGATTGGCCGGGTATGTCATACGATAGTTATATTTACGCCATAGTTCTCATTGAAACCCTAACCGACCGCTGATTGTGTGTTAAAGGGTGCGACTCGGCGTTCAAAGCGAACCGCGCGCTCACCATCCATAAGGTGATCCACACGAACGAGAAGGTGTTCCGCTGCATATGGGAGGGCTGCGACTTCCGGTGCAACCGCTACCACATACTGGCCACCCATAGGCTCAGCCACACGGGCGGCAAGAAGTTCGGGTTCATAAGGTGATCCACACGAACGAGAAGGTGTTCCGCTGCATATGGGAGGGCTGCGACTTCCGGTGCAACCGCTACCACATACTGGCCACCCATAGGCTCAGCCACACGGGCGGCAAGAAGTTCGGGTGCAGTTGGCCGGGCTGTGAGTCCAAGTTTGATAGGCGTAACAAATTGGAGATGCATTTAATGATACACAGGGGCGACAAACCGCACAAATGCGAGTGGCCTGGCTGTGAGAAGCGGTTTGTCGAGAAGGGCAATATGCGTAAGCATTATAATAGTGTTCACGCCAAGGCCTGACCCCTGGCCCGGCAATCCCTGGCCGGTTAACTAACGTTTGTTTTGGTTGAACGTATTTTTTGGTCCAATTGTTTGTGTTTTTCTTTTATTTATTACTTTTTTTAATTGAATTTAATATAATTTATATGATTTGCTGCCGGAGTCGTGTGTATAGTATCTGACAGCAAACAAAACGCCAAAACCAGTCGTGAGTTTTAATTGTGTTTTAATGAAATCGTTGACAAAACAAAACATTTGTTTTATGTAACGGTGAAGTAATTCTGATGGTAATTGTATTTTACTTAACCCCAGGTTCACTTTTCAATTGATTTTAAATCGTATTTTTTTAAGCACACACTCGCTTACCATTTTGCCATATGATTATAATTACAATTATTTATTATCTGTAAAGCATATTATAATATAAAATTTATAATCAAAATAATTTTGAGATTAACCTGTAATTTAATTAAATGCATAAATAAACGATCAATCATTTCATTGGTGACTATCAATCAATGTGTCGTTTCCTATGAATTCTTAATGATCTCAATGTCTGTCCATTTGTATAAGAGTTTGAGTGAGTTTTCAATTTCATTATATTGTACACTATTTTCTAATATTAAACAATTAGAAAACCATCGCGATTATAAAATTTGTAATACAGTATAATATACTGAGTGTTTGCTAATAATAGAGACATTTTTAAATGTTTTAACCGTTAGTTAAAGATTTATAATTTTGTAAAGATTTTGGGTTTGGAATCTGTTTAACTGTTTAACCAAACCATGGCTTATGATAGGCATAACTATACCGGCAAAAGGGATTATAAGTTAGCATACGGTGCCAATTGGTTCCACTCATTGCCCCACTTCTTCACTGACTTGGACACCATCGACAACTCGTTCAACTTCGACAGCAAGGAGTACATGACATCCATCGCCTGTTTCGGTGCATTCTTCGGCATTCTTATGATCGCTATATTAGTGGTGTATTTGGTTTTTGCCGGTATTTTACTCATATTCTTATGGCTGAGGAATACTCCCAAACAGAAAACGGTCGACAAGAATGAGAAAATCAATACAGAATTCGGTATAATATATGACAAGTCATTAGATCTGATAGTTATGTCCAAAACTGACACCAATTCCTGTGTACAGGTATAGGGAGGGTATATATGATTGCATTCCTGGCACTAGTATTCATAACTTTGCTGACAATGGCAATCGATGTCTATAACCTAATCAGGATGTACGACAGACTGGCCACTGTACTCGTGTTAACCAATGGCATCATCGAGTGGTTCAACCGCGTGAGGGATGCCATCGAGAGTATCAACGTATTGCGCTTCTTCAACATCAAACAGCTCATCCAGAATCTGGTCGACACCATCTCCTCCTATAAACTGTTGCCTCCGATCGTCAAAAACATCACAAACATCGCCGACTCCATCGTCGAAGCTATGGATCAAATCGATGAGACAATCTTTAAGCCAAACCTCCCATCTCTTGGTCTCTTGAGAATAGACGTCGAGGTCTACCCCTATTACATCGATCTCATCGGTTACACAATAGCCTACATCGTCACCCTTATGATTGTCCTCATGAGCGCCGTATGTCTTACAATGATTGTCATCGGGGTTACCATATATCTGGACGTCGCGTACGACCGCATCAGTCGCCGGACTCACCATTTGTTAGCATTCTTTGCGTTCTTCGCGATCATAGGGTTTGTCATCAACACCTGTATGTGTGCGCTAGGGTTGGCCGGAACGGTATTCATGTCCGACTTCTGTATCGATGGCAAAGACTACTTGAGAAACCAGATCAACGACACCTCACTCTGGAAGTACTTATTCGAGTGTCCGGTCGAGGAGTTTGAGATCAACGGACTGTTGGAGACGACAGAGAGTGGGCTGACGACCGCCCAAAGGGGTTACCATTTGATGTTCACCGGACTCAACAAATTACTGCACTTTTACTGCAATACCACGGATTCGCTGCTCAAGTCTGGCATCAAAATCGTCGATCTCTTCGTGCCGTTCGTGAACCTCACGACCAGTAATAGCATTACGTGTCCGCAGAGTCTTCGAGACATTGTCGCCAATACTACCGCAAGACTGGATTCCGGGATCAACTCGACGATAGAGACGCTGCAGACGTTCAGGAGTGCCGCCGATTGTCGCGAAGTAAACGATAAGTTGTATCACATTTTCGACATTCTTTGCGGTGATATCGTCGCCAAAGCGATCATCACTTTCGTGATGTCTGTACTGACTTTCGTGGCGTTTATTGTATTACTGTTTGTCTCGACGTATGCCTTCTTCGGCCGATCGACGACTGGGACCAGTGTTTCAGACACTGGAAGTGACCACAAGACAGACACTCAGCAGTAAATAGTGCACAGAATAGTGACGATAACCTCATGAATACAAAAGTATTACAGAATAAGTCCATAAAATCGCTGATTTAATAAAACTGAATATTAGTGCAAATTTGTATATTGAAAACTATTAATATTGATATTCTGGTAAATTTGTTAAATTCTTTATAGATATTTGTATTTGTATTCAAATTGCTTATATAATAAAATTTAAAATGATTTAGAGCCGATTGATTAGTTTATTTAAATGTGATTTATAATTAAATTAAAAGTTAATTTCAAAAAAGGTTTCACTGATAACTTAATAAACTATTAAAACTCAAGTCTTAAATAAATGAAAAGTTATAAAACTTTCAGTATAAGTGTTGAATGGAGTTGAATTAGAAATGCTAAATAGTTTTCAATTTATGTATTATGTATTTCAAGAGTATGTGTGTAAACCTAAAACCATTTAAACTTTAAATTTTAAAGGTGTTTACTGAATAGCGTTTACTTATATAAAACATTTAGTAAACTTCTATCATACTTTAATATTAATAAATTCATTGAGATGATTGTGCATGTTCATTGTAAAAGTTTAATAAAAATTTTAAATACAGTAAGCGCTATTTAGTAAAAACCTTTAAATGGTTTTAGGTTTACACACGTTTTAAATAACTTATTTTGTTAATCCGTGAAAAGGTATCAAAAGTAATAGATTAGCCAACACTGAGATTTTCACCAAGGCAAGATGTTAAACAAATATTATGAATATCTCAGACTTTAATCTCGTGGGAAGAATGGATCAAATCGATGGCGTCCTATACTTGGGTGCTATAGAAGCGACTGAAGACCCTGAAGAGCTGACAAAGGCTGACATCGCAACCATTCTGTCCGTTATATCCGATGAAATGGAGGCAAAGGACAGAATCGGTGGCATTAGATACCACTGGATTCAAGCGGACGACTCGCCACGCGAAGACCTCTTGACTCACTCTCCGGAGGCGTACGACATCATTGACAAGTGTGTGGTGTCGGGCATCGGGATTCTGGTGCACTCGTGGCAGGTGTGTCCCGATCGACGACAATAGTCTGCTCTTATCTGATGAAAAAGCGGCGGAAGACGTACGAAGAGATCCATGCGTTGGTTCAGTGCCGGCGTCCTATCATTTGGCCAAACCATGGATTTGTGGCTCAGTTGGGGTTATGGGAAGGGATGGGCTTTCGTTTGGACGCAAACAACAAGGAATTCCGACATCATATGAGAGAAATGCATTCACTGCATACCTTTCCCGTCAAAAAGTTGGACCAATACTTCCCGAGACTCGAGATGGCCGAGAGTACTACCCGTCCTTTGAATTTAGGCAAACAGTATGTCTGCAAGAAATGTGGCGAGGAGTTGTTCCACGAGCTCCATGTGCTCAGGAATAGTGGCGGAAATACAGGCGATACCTGTGGCCGAGTATTTATAGAGCCCCAGCCCTGGATGTCTGAGTTATTGTCGTATGAAAAGCAATCCATTGATTATTACAAGGATTTGAAGATCAGATGTCTTCAGTGCGGACAAGTGGTGGCAAAGTATAGGACAGAGTATTATGCCGTTCAGTGCCAATGCAGTGACCACTCAAACATCAATGAGATTAGGATCCAGATGTTGGACAACACCTTCTCATTGAAGTCTAATTAAGACTCATTGACCCCTTCAGACAATTTACACATTTTAGCAAAATTATTATTTGTGTCAAATTTAATAAATGTTGTGATTATTCATAAAATACATTTACGATTACATTTTATTTTATAAAATTGCTATAATTATAAAATAAAAAAATTGTCATTTATATTATTTCTTGAAACAGATCTATGAGCCCAATCCCAAAGACAGGCCAACTCTGGAACAGTTGTCGCTTCACAACTGGATTAAAGAGGAATATAATAAAGTGAAGACAAATAGTCTTAGAGCCTAATAAATAGATGCATAACCAGTATTTGTACAAATTTGTAATTATTAACAGATATAAAGTGCATAACTGGCCACTCGTATACTCTATACTTCTATACATAAAAAGTTTTATCCATTTATACACTAATAATATTCAATTTGTTTGAAAGGTTTCTATTATGATAATTATAACGCGACTTACAATCAAATAGCAATTCATACGAAAACAATTTGAAAGTTTCTACCGATTTAATTATAAGCAGTTTTCCAGACTATATATTTTGGTTGACATTGATCTCAAACCATGGCTTACGAGCGAAATAACGATACCGGCAAAAGACACTACAAGATCTCTTCTGGTGTCCAGTTTTTCCATGAATTGCCGCACTTTTACTATACATTGCGTTCAGTCGACAACTCATTCGTCTTCGACAGCAAGACTTACATCACATCCGTTGCCTGTTTTGCCATATTCTTCATGATTGTAATGATCGCTGTATTTGTCGTGTATTTGGCATTCACTGGCTTTTTAGTCATTCGTCTATTCCTGAGGAATACCTCCAAAAAGAAATCCACAGACAGTAATGAGAAGATTAATACAGAATTCGGTATTTAATACGAGAAAATCGATTAGATTTGATAGTTGTGTCCAAAACTGACACCAATTCTTGTTTAGGTATAGGGAAGGTATGTATGTTTGCATTCCTTGGACTCCTGTTCCTCTGTGGCCTAACCCTAGCCATAGATGTCTATAACGTACTGAAGATATACGACAGACTGGCGACAGTACTCGAGTCCGCCAAAGAAGCTGTCAATTGGTTCAACGGCGTGAGGGCTGCCCTCGAGAGCGTCAACGTCTTCAGCGGATTCAACATCAAACAGCTCATCAAGAATCTGGTCGACAGGATCTCCTCCTATGGTCTCTTACCAGCGAGGGTCAGGAACTTCACTGAATCCTCGGATAATGTCTTGGATCAGTTGGACCACATCACTGAAGACATCTTCAAAGCAAACTTTCCAACTCTGGGTCTCATGCGGACAGACGTCGACATCTATCCCTATTCTATCAATCTTTACGGTTACCTACTGTCCAACACCGCCGCCGTTATGGTCGCCCTCATGAGCGCCGTATGTCTTATAATGATTGTCATCGGAGTTATCATATATCTGGACATTGCCTACGACCGCATCAGCTGTCGGTCCCACCATTTACTGGCATTCTTCGCATTCTTCGCGATCATAGGGTTCGTCATCAACACCGGTATGTGTGCTCTGGGTATCGGCGGAACGGTATTCGTGTCGGACTTCTGTATTGACGCCAAAGACTTCTTGAAAGATGAGATCAACGACACCGTCCTCTGGAAGTACTTATTCGAGTGTCCGGTGGAAGAGCTGAAGGTCAACGATATGCTGGACACGGCTGAGAGTGCGCTGACCACAGCCCACAGGGGATACGAATTGGTTTCCAATGGACTCAACAAATTGGTCAATATCTACTGCAATACCACGGATTCGCTTCTCAAGACTGGCACCAAAATCGTCGGTCTCTTCATCCCATTCATAGACCTGTCGACCAATAAGAGCATTGCGTGTCCACAGAGTTTTCGAGATGTCATCTCCATTGTCACCACAGGTCTGGACACAAGAATGAACGCCACGTTCGCGAGGCTACAGATCTCCAGAAGTGCCGCCGATTGTCGTCCGATTGCTGATAAGATATACCATATCTTTGATCTTCTTTGCGGTGATATCATCGGCAGAGCTATTGTCATAACTTTGTCGGCTGTACTGACTTTCGTAGTCTTTATTATTCTGGTGTTTGGCTCGACGTATGCCATCTTCAGACGACCGACGAGTGGGTCCAGTGTTTCCGACAAAGACAGAGACCATAAAACAGACACTCGCGAGAAGTTAGAAGACAGCGGACAGAAGACAGGCTCTAAACACAAGAAAGGAGTGAAAAGTAAGAAAGAAATACAGAATAAGACAACACTTGATAAGAGTCTACAGATTCCTGAAAAGGATAAACGATTTAAGAATATATATTCCGCGACCTTATGATAAGCCATAGATTCTTACCATAAGACCATTGATTCCAACTTAATATTAGTGTTAATTTAGGATTCATTAATTATATGTGAACCCAATTGTTAAACACTGTATTTGTATGAAAATATTTTCAATAAAATCCATTTATTCACAAGAATTGGTTACAAAAACATATGAATAATTCATTCAAAAACCAAATGATTTAAAGATTCGGTTAAATGTTATGATTGAATATATTATTTTGAAATATAAGTGTTAAACATCTATTGTATTTAATTGATCTGTTTTATATTATTTGTGAAACATTAAAAGAATTGGAGTTTTATAACTTTTATTTTTTGAATTAAAATTCTTTAATTCAAGTCGAGATTTAAGTCGAGACATCCATTCAAAACACGTTCACTGCTGCCCACCACGACCTACCGGTGCCCACAATCCTGATAGACTATACATTACGTTCACATCTAAATTTAGTAATTAATGGTTAATAAAATATACAAATCATTATTTTTAAAACTAATAAAATATTTATTTCTGTATTGAATTGCTATTAAAGTAAAGTTTAAAACATAACTCATAGAGGAGTGCATGTCTCGTATGTCTAGCCATTAACATATCATTTGAGGATTTATTGAATAATTTTTAAATAAGTCAAAAAAGTTTTAACTTATGAAAAATGACTGTAATTTTGATATAACGGTTTAGGATTGAATTTAATTCAAAATTGTAGGCAAACTTTATTTCATATCATGAATGTCTATGTATTTAAAAGTGAATATAAATTTGTAACAATTGATTTGCATTTCAGGCATAAAGTATTATACAATTAAAAATACAAATGAATGCAATTTACACATGAAATGGAAAGACATAAACATATAATGAAATCAAAATAGATTTTATTTGTCATTAATTATAGTCTAATTGTGCGCTACGTTTGGCTATTCTTTAGCCTTATTTTGTCGATAATTCCCTTCATTTTATTCTTGTAATTCCCGGTATAGTTGGGAATATTCTCGAAGTACAACAGCTCTCCCATGCCTTCCGACCACTTCTCGAGGGACGGCCTAACGGGCCGTTCGGACGCCGGCATCGGACTCCCCATCGCTATCATCTTCAGTCTCCTCGCGCTGTCAGTGCTTTCGTTCAGCGAATTCAGCGACGATTTGCTGCCATTCATGTCATTCACGTCCGACACCTCATCGGCCGACTCGTCGCTGATTGTGACGACATCTTCAGCTTCTTTGCTCACAATTGGCTCACATTTCGCTGCATTCAAACCATTATCTTCCGATTCGCCACTCGTTTGCTTCCCATTCGCGAAACCATTGTTCGTATCCCTCGTTGACCTGTCGTCGAGTTCTTGAGACACAAAACAAAACCACAATTAAGTCATAACTCAACACAAATCCAAGAACTCACTGGAATCGGGCGATTTAAACGGGGAACTGGAGGTCGTGGTGGACGTGGGCTCTACCGCACGCCTCCTTTTGTAGGGCACCGGCTCTGTCACGTGCATAGTCTTGAGCGCCTCCTTCAGCTGCTGTTGCTCTAACATCGGCGGCATTCGCAGGTAATACCAGTCCTACAAGAGGTATAATCATAAGACACAGACAGACATCACCAGAAGGAATCAACTCAAAGCGCATACATCTCTAATGCCTGTGGGAACGGGTGTATTAAAGCCCGGGTACTCGACGAACGAGTCCTTATTGTACTGAACCCCTGAGCCATTGGCTGTGGCAGAGGTCGACGGCTCCGGTATCTCTCCGTCCTCTTTGGCGCCGGCGGTGGGCGCGGAGTCGTCGAAGATGGACAGTGTGCTCACCTGTGCCTGCTTTAGATACCCGGGCGGGTAGCCTAACACT